ACAAAAATGAGCCATGATCTAATTGCCTCCTCTATCTTATCCTTACCCTTTCCCACCTTTACGAACAGCTAGTTCTTTTCCATGATAAAGCCTTACAGTGAAGAAAGTTTCCTAATTATGTCCAGAAGGCTCAGCAACATGGAACTCCGGAACACTTTTGAAATAAGTTCCATCTTCCATACAACTCAAAACACGCCGTGCAGCGTTCATGTTCACCACCCGCGACTCCTAAAGCGGTGGCAAAAGGTAACGACGACACTCCATGGTTTTAGTCACAACTGTCAGAGCCGATGTTCTAAAAAAGCAAAGAGGCCGGGCATTGACGGGTAACACATGGATATTGTGTCCTGTGGCCTGTCATGGCTTGCCATGCCACTGCCACAGGATGGCAATATGTGAGGAAGGCTAAAATGGTGCAGCTGACGACTCTAGAAGTTGCAGCAACATGGGCTTATTCCGTATCTTAAGTCTACAGAAATGTTTTTTAAGGGGCCTTTAGAATGCCGTTCACTGCCGATCTGAAAACCCTGCATTCTGTGCTGAGTCTGAAAAAGATCTGAATTTCTAAAGCAACTTTGTTTCATGCAGGAGTTTTAAAAAATGCCCCAAGGACAAAGACAAAGCCCTTTTTCCTTGTAAGCTTACGCACTACCCGGCATAGGGTCCAGCTTTCATACAGCAGGTACCCAATAAGTGCTGGCTGGATTCAGTTGCTTCTTACAGCACATTCTCACAAAACAAATGAAACCAGATTTAAAAGGAAGCTACTGTCCCTGGAAGGCTCCCCTTGGCAAAACTCTAAGGCAACAAGTGAAAACGATACAGTTGATTTTCATTACTGTGCTGATCTTGCAACAATAAGAAGGGCAAGAAGCATTTTTATTAGTAAACTAAGCAGTAGACAAAGACCAAAAACAAATGTAAACAACCATTATTCTCCACATCTTTTCCTGCTAAAAGGCCAAGGTAAATCTGGAAAAGGGCATGGCAAAAAAGTTTAAATCTTTTGTTCCATAAGAAATTTTAATTTTAAAAAAATACTGTGCGCTGAAAAAACTACTATTGCCTACAAAGATCCTGTTTCCTGCTCCAATTCTGAGCCATTTAAAAAAATAATAAAATGAGCAACAAAGAAAAACCCCACCCCATTCATCCTCAGTCTTTACTGCCCAAGTAGTTAATACGGGATATTAAAGAAAGAAAGAAATTAAAAAAGGAAGAAAGAAAAAGGCAGAAAAAAGAAAATGGAAATTCTTTACCATCTTAAAACAGTACATTATTTCTTTGTTGGAAAACACATGTAGGAAAACTGGAAATACAAAAAGCCTTCCAGACTCAGCTCCTAAACTTTAATCTTGGAAAGATCAACTTCGTTTCAGATTCAGTTAAGGATTTCACTGTCACAAATCTGACTTTCATTGGCATTTGTGTTTTTTTAAGTCCAACCCCCAAATCCCCTACTTGAGCTGTGTATAACCAGGATTTTTTTCTTTCCTGTCCATTTCTCCCATGGTGTTGAAACCCCTATGTGACATTAGCCATCAGTCTGTTGTATTGCTAGAGTACGTGGATCTAAAAAACTCTACAGATAAAAGAGAGACAGACGCCAACTTGCTGAACAAATTTACTTAATAATTTTAACCTAACCTCTATATTCAAAGTGACAGAATGAATTCTTGACAACCTTCACAGATTGCTTTAAAAGAGAAAAAAAAAAAAAACAGGTTTATTGGGATATAATTTGCATGCCCATAAAAGTCACTAATTTAAAGCAAATGATTTTTAGTATATTTAGGGTTGTACAACCACCACCACAACCTAATTTTAGAACATTTTCATCACCCCCAAAAGAAAGCCCGTTCCCATTAACAGTTACTCCATGTTCCCTCCTCCCCCAGCCGTACTCAACCACTGATCTACTCTCAATCTCTCTGGAGTTGCTTATTCTGGACTTCGTATAAACAGAATCATATAATATGTGGTCTTTTGTGACTGGCTTCTTTCACTTAACATGATGCTTTTAAGGTTCTTCCAGTCAACCTTAGCATATTTCTTAAGGTTGGAGTTTTCTGATCTGACAAATCAAACATATAACCTTTTAAACTTCAAATCCTGACCCACACCCCATCCCTACTCAAAAGTACCATTTACTTGCTGGTTCCCTCTAGAGAGTCTAAACTATAATTTGCTATTTAGGTTCTTTCCAACCTTCTTATTCTGAGTTCTTCCTCTGGTAATAAAACACCAACTTCTTTAACCATCGACCTTTCACATACCTTCTATTTCTCTGACAATAGGGTATGACTGTGCCTGGGGCAGAAAGATGACTGAACCCTTTTAATGAGATGGCCAATATGTTTAAAGTACATGTGGATTAAACAAAAAGAAGATGAAGAAGCCATCAGATGAGTTAGCTATCACTCAAAACCTCCCAGCCTCCCTGATTCAGATGCTCTGTTCACATTATGTTGATAACAAAACAAACATGTCTGCACGACTTCATCTTTCTCAAAAACTTCTACATCTTTTCCGTGAAAGACTTAAAAGACAATCACCCTACTGCTAGTAGGTGTCAGTGTTCAAAGAATAAACACTAATCCTTAAATGTGCCAACACAATAGGAACGAACACCGTCCCAATTTTTACCACTGTACTAGACAGCCTTTAAAAGAATACCCGTCCTGGATTGGACTCAGTAGTTTATTTCCATCAAGTTCAGGGTTCTAGCGCCTTCCTCACTAAAAACTGAACACATGTTAAACACTGAGCTGCTGTTTTTCTCATGAAAACTTCAGAGCTGTAGGAAGGAGCAGAGACCGAGTCAGGACTTCAACAAACCAAGGCAGGAGTCAGGGTCCCTTCTGACCATCCATCAGGTTTTCAGGAACCAACCATTTTCAAGGGATCCTTCAGAAAAGCTTTGGCCTCTCGGTATTATAAACATGCATGAAAATGCCCCTTCTCCTGCCTGTTTTCTCAAGAAAGAGCCGCCTTTCACAAAGAATATTGTTCATGAAGATCGCTCCGAACAAGAAGACATCCTATTTTAAAATGCCCGACTCCTTCGTCAAGAGGTAAGGCCATCACTGGCGTTGTGAATTTCAGTACTAACATTAAATAATAAAACTAGAAACGTTACACACTTCAATATCATGCCTTTAAAAAAAAAAAAACGGATTAGCTCTCCTGTGTCTTCTAAACTGTATTTAGCCTTTAGAGCCTAGAAACCCTCTTCTGTCCCCCCAAACACCATCTGAAATCCTTAGAAGGGAGCAGAAAGCATTTCGTCCAATCCAGTGAGCTGAAAGTTTAGAAAACAAAGAGGAGGAGAGCTCAGATTTGTGGAAGGTCCGGCCTCAATCTGCGACTTACTCCGTGTAGTAAACACGAATTCTGTAAAAATCTCCTTTTACTCCATCATGGACTCATTTCTTCCAAGGCACTTAAGAACGGTTTGTTTACACAAACAGCTTTTCGGAATTGCCCCCGTGATGGGGCCAGACAGCCCCCGCCGCTACCCCCCCTCCATTCTCCCCCTCACTCTGCGAGGCTCAGTCGTGACTTTTCAAAGTTAACTGGCACCACCTGCATACCCTCGGCAAACATTACTCACCAACACGCCCTCAACGTTCCCAGCCCCAGTTCCCCGACTGCATTTAAACTTTAATCGTGTTCAAATTCCCCTGCCATCGCGAATGCGCCAGTTAACCACGCTTCCATTTTCTGAGTACAGAACCCCCTCCTCCTCCTCCTCCCTCCACCCGTCCTGGGGCCCTAAGTTCTCCCTCCCTCCCGCACTACCCCTACCCGACACTACCAAAACAAAAGCTCTCAGATTGCAAGCGATAGCGGCTGTGGAGCGATACTGCTTATTAACTTTGTACAAAGGAAGTGCGGGGCAGGGGGAGACACAATGCAACATAACTCTGGCCACCGAACCAAGGCGAGGGCTCTGCTCTGGCAAAACAAAACACCCTCCCGCCCACCCCCCGCCGCCGCAGACCCGGACGCGCGACACCTCTCGCCGGGGCCAGGTGTCCCCGAGCGGCAGCCCCGCGCTAGGAGCACGTGTGTGGAAACGCACGTCGGCTCGGACCACACACCCACTCCCGCACAGTCGGACGCTGCCCGACCGCCCCCCGCCTCCGTCTGCAGGAGGAGAGGCGTCTACAGCCCGGGGTAGCAACCGGGAGAAGTCCCAGAACCCTCTGGACGAGGAGCCCAGACGCGCTCCTCGGAAAAGCCGGACTGATGCAGAGCCCCCGACCTTTCAGTTTTCGGGGCCAGGGGGCGAGAATCTAGAGAAGGCGCACTCCCCCCCCCCCACCCACCCCAGAGCCGCACAGAGCGGCCGCGGGAAGCCGGGGACAGGTAACCCGCCGAGGATCGAGAGAAAGTGACGCGAAGGGAAAGGCCAGGAACCCAAAACGCCCAAGGAGGGAAAGCGCGTGGGCCACACGAGGCCGCGCTGCGCTGTTTGGAAACGTGTCCTAGGGCTGCGGGGCCTCTCCGCCGGCCACCTCCCCCCTGGAGCCCCGCGGCCGCTGGGCTACCCGATCCCCGCCCCCGGGCACCTCGGCTGCCCCGGCAGCGAGGGCCCCGCGCGACCGCGGGAACTGTCACCGCCGCCTGGCGCGCCGCGCGGGGGGGGAGGTGCGGGTGCAGGGGCCCGGCCCGGCGCGAACTTCCCCGACGGAGTCCCAGCGCGGGCACGGCCGCGGGGGAACCAGCGCTGCCCCCGGACAGCCGGCCCGCGGGCCAGGGCTCCCGGGCCAGCGAGAGAGAACCCCCCGGGGCCCTTCCCGCGCGGGGGTGCGCCGAGCCGGGGCCCCGGGGCCCGCTCCGGCCTTCCGGCCGAGCCCCCTGCGCTCCCCGCCCCGCCGCTCCCGAGCCCGGGGGCCCGACAGCTGCGGCGACGGCAACTCGGGTTTCGCAAACAGGGCGCAGCCCCTCGGAGGAAAAGTTCCCGCAGTGGCCGCGGGCGGCGGGCACATACTCACTTTCTCCACTCGTCGGCCAGAGGGAGAGCGCGGCGGAGAAAAACAGGAGCCCCCACAGCGAGGTCGGGGACCCTCCTCCGGAGCCAGACTTCATTCCTTTTATTTGGGACGAAATTCCCCTCTCTCAAAAAAAAAATAAAATAAAGAAAAACCAAAAAAGAAAAAGAAAACAGAAAGAAAAAAAAAACGGGAAAGGAAAGAAAAAGTCTCAAACTCAGTCTTCGTCCCCTCCGAAAACAGGGGCGAAGAGACAATACTCCAAAGGCGGCGCCGGCCGGGGACCCTCCGGGTGCGCCGAGCGGGCGGGCGGCGGCGCGGGGCGGCCCCTCAGCGCCGGCAGCCTCGGCCCAGGGCTCGGCGGAGTCGGGAACCCGAGGCGCGCCGGGGCGGGCTGTCGGCGTCGTCGGCCTCCATTTTCAAACCCAGAGAGGCAGGAGGGAGGGGGGGTGGAACTGCACAGAAAAGGGGGCAAAGCCCAAATTCGTCTCGGCGAAGAAAAACAAGCCCGACCCCAGGCAAGGGGGGGAGGCTGTCCGACGCCCGAGCCTCCGCGGCGGGAGGGCGCGACGCAGTTCGCAAGATTGCCCCGAAGTCCGGGTCGCGGGCGAGGCCGGCCGGGGGCAGAAATGCGGAGTAAAAATGAATGAGCGGCTCCCCCTCCTCCTCCTCCTCCTCCGGGCTCCGCTCGCCGCCGCCGCCTCCCTCAGCGCCGCCGCCGCCGCCGCCGCCGCCGCGAGCTCCTTCCCAAATCCAGAACACACACAAAGCGGCGGGCCGGCCGCGCCGCGCTCAGCACTCCCGCCGCGCCGCCCGGGCTCCGCGCCGGCCCCCGCCCGGCCCCCGCCCGCCGCCGCCGGCTCCGCGCGCGGGGGCTCCGGCTCGCTGAAGGTCAAAGCCGAGGCGCGCAACGCGCCGTGGAGCTCCCCTAGCGCGGGAGGGGCGTGGAGGGCCCGGGGAGTGGGGCCGAGGGTCTGCAAGCGCCGGGCACGGGCGCGCCGGAGGCAGGCTCACAGGCGGCTTCCCTCTCGCTCGCTCGCCTCTCTCGAGTTCGCCTGGTGCGCTCGCTCCTCCTCGGTTTTTCCCCCCCCTCTTTTTTTTTTTTTTTCCGCTCAGCGGAGTTAATGCTGGTAAACAAGAGCCTCAGCCTCGCCGCGCCGCTGCCGCCGCCGCTGCCACACACTGGGGGCTCGCGCGCGCGCGCGCGCTCGGGGCCGCGCACACGCGCGCGCGCGCACACTGGAGCGGCCACAGCCGCAGCCGCGGCGCGCCGAGGGCCCGGCCCAGGCCGGCGCGCGCCAAGAGCCGGAGCCCGGGATTCCAGGGACGTGCGGAGCGGAGCCGGGGCGTGGGGTGCGAGGCTCCGAGGCACCGCCCCCGCCCCCCGCCCGCGCCGGCACACGCGCGCGCGCGCCCACACGCTCTCGCCCCCACCCGCACTGCGCCGGCCACCCTGCACGCGCCCTCCCCTCCCGCAAGACTCCAAAAACAATGCCCCCGGCGCCGGCCGGGGCTTGGCGGAGGGGCAGGCTGGCGAAGAGAGGAAGGGGGGGCGGGGGGGGCGGGCAGTGCGGGGCCGGAGAGGTTCATTGAAAACAACAGCAAGGGTGGAAAGCTCGTTTCCCTGGTTCTTGAAAAGCTTCATTGTTTCTTGCAGCTGTTGCAAAATAAATAAATAAGTGCGTGCATGCGGCATTTTTTTCGCAGCGCGCTGGAAAGCCCGATGTGGCGGGAGGGGCACACCTGGGAGCAAGGAGACCCCCAAGCCACTAAGGCAGGCACTTTCACGCAAGGCTGGGATGGCCGCGGCATCGCGACCGGAGAGCCCGGAGTTCTGGGGTTTGCGGGGAGCTGAAGGGAGAGGGCGCAGCCCGCGTGGCTTGGCCCAGGGGCGCGAGGGGATACGGCCCGCCGCCCGCCGCGGGCCCCGAGCGGGGGAAGGGGGGCCCAGACAGGCTGCCCCGCGTGCCCAGGGCGCGTCCCGGCAGCGGCCGCCAGGGGGCGCGGCGGGCGCCGGGGAGGGCCGGCCGGCGGAGTGTCGCCTCCCTCCGGGAGAGGAAATGTGGGGGCCCGGGCAGGGGGCTGGCCAGGCTGGGTCGCGCTGGCCGGGCCTCCACGACCCGCGCGGCGCGCCCTGGGCGCTCCTCGCGGCCTCGCGCGGCTCAGGGACCCCACCACGTGGGCGGCTGCGGGGAGCTGCCGAGGCGCGTGCACAGCGCGGGGCTGCGGGGCCCCCGAGGCAGGGGGGCGTGTCCGAAGGGCTCCTGAGGATTGGGTGGGGGACCGGGGCCGGGGTTCGAACGAGTCTCCCCGCTGGTGTCGGGACCCGGGAACATGCCGCACACACGCGCGAACCGTGGCCACTGCGGAAACCCACCCGCACCTGCCTCGGGTCCTCCCGAGCACGTCTCTCTAGTTTCGTTTGCTACGTAAGTGGCAAGAAACCAGCACAAACCCCAAGTCTCCTTGGTGGCTTTCTTGATTGTGACCAAGGAGAGGTTTCCCCAAAGCGAGACTGCCCTAGGACAGCCATCTAATGAATAAATGCTGCGGAGACCAGGTCCTCAAAGGAGAAAAGCCCCAGCAATGGCTGGAGAAAGGAGTTTGAAATACGTGGACTTTTAAAAATAGTGATTGGACCACGTGTCGTCTGTAATGTGGTCTGGTTTCATGACTCAGGCTAATTGATGTCAATAATAAATAAAAAGAAGATGGCTAATAAAAGAGTTGTGAATGTCTAGAGCGAGTGGAAGTGTTTGTCTCATAAACAATCAGGCTGTCTGGTAAGAAGGGATCTGTTCTAAAGGAAAGGTAGGTTTCTTTTTTTACTCTAATTGTCAAAGATTTCCGCGTTACATTGTGCATCCCATCATTCGTAAATAATTTTTTTAATTAAGAGCTGAAAACAAGTCAGAAGCTATCATAATGGAAACCTAGCCCTTCCCCCCTCCCGCATATTTATTTCCCAGATCATTTTTCCCCTTGGAAATTTTTACCTCAATTCAGTGAGTCAGTTGTATAGAAGGAAAATAAATCTTTTTTTTTTTTAGCTTGAAGTCATTCATATTGGGATTGTTTTTGTTTAACTGAATTCAGCTTAATTTTCAAATGCAGTGTTCCAGTTTTAAATGTTTCTGGACATTAACAAAGAAAAGAAACAAATTAGAGTCTTAAGAAGAAACTTAAATTTAGCATGTATCGTTTAAAAAATTAGACAATATATGTGATTAATTAAATTTTAGTTTACTAATTTTTAAATATCTCTTCAGAGAGTTCCCTGCATGAGGTTGGTCTTGAAGCCTACAGATCCATTCTACAGCTAAATGTAAAGGAATATCAATATTATATTTTCATTGTATTTCATATTCAGATTTTTTAATACATACTTCTAAAATAAGACAAAAGTTTAGAGCCGATTTTTTAAAGGTGAATGCTAATGTAAGGTCTTTACTGCACAATATATTTCAAGTATTAGTACTAAAAGTGCCCATTGAGCTGTCCTGAACATAAGGACGTTTATGGAATAAAGAGAAATGCACAGTTATTTAAATTGTAGGGGTTTTTGAGGAAAATGATTTTTCATTTGTGAATTTTTTTAAATGTTTGTGTTTTCCTAGAGTAGTAGGTAATAAATAAGATAAAGTTATTTTAGACAGTGAAGATACTTATTCCTGTATAGCTTAATATTTAGAAGAGAGTCAAAATTTAGATTGCTTTTCAGCTCTAACTTGATCACATGGGCACAGAAGGTGATTTTATTTTCTTCCAGGATTAGATGCTACAAATCAAAGTCAAACTAATTTTTTTAAACCTTGGAAATTGAATCATGTAGTAAGACATGAAATGGAGTCTTTGTTTTACAGTTGCATTGACAGTGCATCACACAATTTTGATGTTTGCAGTGCCCCCTCCCCCCACGTATCTTATAAATTTCCCTTCATTTGGACCTGAAATCGGTTACTCATTTCCACTCTTTAACTTGAAAAGTGTTATTTCAAAATGTTCTGCTCACCGTATCAGTCTCCCCCCAAACTTAATATATACCAAGTAAAAAAAAAAAAAAATGTGAGACACAGCACAGGTGACAATCGATAAGTATTATACATACACAATATATTGTGCTATATTCCCAGAAAGGAATGTCATTCAAAGCAAAAGTGAATAAACCACAGCCACATACAATGTGGGCAAAGCTTTGAAACACAATTTTAAATTTAAAAGAATGAACATTCTGAAAAAGTACAACACCATTTTGATAAAGTTCTTAAAAACAGAAAACGAAAGGCATATGGCAATTTTTCAAAGCAAGATAATTAAATACACAATAAAATATTTGTGCTTTGTTTTATTTTATTTTTTTTTAGCAAAAAGATTAATAAGGAACCACAAAACATAGGATCCTGATTACCTCTGGGAGGGAGTGGGGAGAAGCCCAAAGGCACATGCAGTGTTCTCAGAACTGTGTTCATTCTCAGGTTGGTAGGTGGATATACAGATTTACACTTTGTAATTATGCTTTATAACCAATGCATCTATTGCACATATTTTTGCATGTATAAAATATGAAAGAAGATGGCAACAATATGGGAGAGATTCACAAAAGAGATCATCCCAGTTTTTCAATGTGATTCTTCCAGATCCCAAGTTGTATAAACAACTCAGAAGAATTAAAGAACCACTACAATGCTATAGTTCCTCCAGGGTTTATCCTTAAAGATACATTTCAAAACAATGTGTACCCATAACCTATCAGTACAATTTGAGACAAAAACAAATCATGAACTAAAAAATGTAGAAATATCCACTTCATAGGTAATCAGGTTCACTAATTAAGAGCACATTATGTAAACTGGCAATTTCCTGTAAGGTTAAACATGCACCTAACTTATGATCCAGCAATTCTACCCCTAGCTATTTAACCAGAAGAAATGAAAAGTTCACAGAAAGACCTGTATGGGAATGTTGGTAGCTGCATTATTCTTAGTAGCAACAAACTGGAAACAACTCAAAAGCACATCAAAGAAAAACAAATTTAAAAAATCGTGATATATCCATTCGACCCAATATTGCTTAACCATAAAAAGGACCAAACTATTAATATATACAAAATGTATAATGCACAAGCCAGGCACAAAAGAGTACATATTATATAT